ATACATAAAAAAAATAAAACGTATCATAAATTTTTTTAACCATAATAGAAACTAATCCACTTTATCTGGCAGCATTTTTAATCCACAGTATGCAATATCCAGTTTTTTTTTATATCAGATTGAGATGTGAGATGACAAACAGGATGAGAGAGGGTTTGTTATTCACAATACCCAGAATGGTTTAAATATTTCTACTAATCTATCATCAAGAAGATATATTTTATAATAGTTTCAGGGAATCAATTAGACCAGATTTTATTGGATGCATTTTAAAACATTCTCCGACTGAAACAATTTTTGGAAAATCATCAGTTTCCAAATCATCAGTTTCATTTTTAATACATAATAATTTACCATGATTTATCTTGTTCTCTTGGTGCTTAAAGTTAAGAAATAGGTAGCAGTAATGTTAAAGGCTTACTCATAGAGAGAATATGAATGTGTAAATTCAAGGATATTAAAGTAAATCATAGGCAATGGGGTTGAAGAGGTATGGGGAAGGTTTAAAAATGTAGTGTTAGAATGTTCAGCAGAAGTTTGAGTTACAGGAAAGTGAGTGCAGGAGGGAAGAGGAGCGATTGGAGAGAGTAGTAAGGGAAAAAATGTTAGCATATGAGAGGTTTTTACAAGTTATGCAAGCAGGGAAGAATATGTGGAGAAAAAGAGAGAGATTAAGTGAGTGCTTCAGTTAAAAAATAGGAGAGGAGAGTTATTAAATGGAGAGTTAGAGGTATTGGGAAGATGGAAGTAATAAAGATAGAAAGGTTAAAAGCAGGTGGAGATATAGTTTTGGAGGGGAGGTACCTAGGGATTGGCAGAGAGCAAGTACATATTATTGTCACATTCTTCCATAAAGCCAGTGTTTTTTTTTAATAATGATATTTTGCAGAAGCTAGTAGTAGTCTTAGGAAAAGGAGAAAGAGGACAAAGATTTGCCTTTTGACTTACAACAAAAGTGGTATTCTTTTGAAATAACAAAAAAATAATTAACAATAATACATATAAACCTTATTATTGGGAAATTTGTAAAAAAAAGCAAAATTTTTTATTTTGAATTTAAATGTAATTCCTTGCATTTATATAAAGTTAGAGACGAATTCGATCGAATAATGCAGCTGATGGAAAGTATTATACTGATAATGGTATTGAAGAAATAAGATCAGCTGATGTAGAAGCATCAGGTTCTATTCAGAAACAAAAAAAAAAAATCTTTTTCAAGTCTCTTGTTAAAGAGGTATCAACAATTTCTGAAATTCATAACATGGTGGGTAATGCTCTCAAATGTCAGTCAATGTTTAAACGTAATTTTAGCTGTTGGGAAAAAATTTAATTGAATTACAAAGAATTGGTAAAATTTAAGGTGGAAATAAAAAAAGTTGATCGCTTATACCATATTTATCAAGATAAAAATGATGACACTGATGGAGACAGTTATTACAAACTATAAACAAGTTTAAAGTTTCATGTTGATGTAATTTTCCTCAAGCAAGTTTTATTAAAAGGAAATAAATGATAATTGTTTTTTATTTTCAATATTATTTATGTCGTGCCGAATAGGCAGAACTTGCGATCTTGGCTTAAATAGCAACACTCATCTTGCCATATAGGACAAGTGAAAATTTGTGTATGCAATAATTTTGCCAAAATCATTCTGAACATAAAGAAAAAAATATATTTGATTGTTTTTTTTCAGTACTAAATTATTATAAACAAATCTAAAATATATTTAGTAGGGTTAGGTTAAAATAAATTGTGCTTGTTATAATAAAGTTAGGTAAGTTTTCTAAGATTCTTTTGGTGCAAAATTAAAAGTTTTTACATTAACATTAATGAAAAAAATATATCTTTAAACGAAAAAAATATAGGGAGGTACCGCCTCTAGAACTGTTATAGGGACCCTCATCCTCAGAGAAAAGAATAAACTTGCTTCAGGGAAAACTCAAGGTTCTCCCTGAAGCTTTTTGAGAATTTTCTCCTACCACCCCCTATATTTTATGTATATTTTATTTAAAGACAAAATACATTGACAAAACATTAAAAAAATACGATAGAAAGTAAAACAACATAGGTAACTCAGAGCTACATCTCGAATACTTCGTCCAGCTCCCCGGCAGTGGGCTGGGTGCCCAGAATGCTGCAGGCATTTCCTCTCTGGATTGCAACACCGAGTCTCTGAAAGAGGAAACTGGTCGCCCTGTGGTCCTTGGTTTCTATGATGAGCTTTTCACCCAGCTCCATTAGGAACTTTAGAGCACACTTGCCCCATGCTCCAAGGGTCTCCGACCCTATTGGGATGAAGTTATAGCAAGGGGGAAGGTCTTCATATTTGCGGATCTTCTTGGTCTTCCTGTGGCTGGCAGCTCCACCCCCTTCCACTATGGAGTATGGGAAGTAGGTGTCTGCCAATGTGGTGGCACATTTGTAGTCCCAGGCAATCTGCTTTCCATCCTTCCAAGGTAGCATAGTGGCTCCAACAGGACACTTTTGACTTCCCTCAGACCTCTGCACTTGGGGTTCCCGTTGAGCTGGGCAATGAGTTGTGGCGAGGCTTCTCTTTATGTCATTGACCTCCTCATGCCTGGCATACTTCCCTTCTGCTGTGTGACACACGAGACCATGAAGTCCGAATTGATCAGCTGTCACCCTGCCGCAAATACACCTATGTTCGGTGAGGATGGGGGAGGCTAGGCGAAGAGCAACACCAATCCGAATGGCCTGTGGGTCTAGTCGAGTGCCTAAAGAGGAATTGGGAACAGCTAACAGGAAATCTCCTGAGTGTGGTGCCTTCAATGATAGGAGATGAGCTTTGTCCTTTCCTGAGGCATTGGAGAGCATTGTGTTGGCGATTTTTTCCATGATCGGTTTGTCCTAGTGGGACTGTTTGTGTTCTTTGGGAGGAGCTGGTCTACTGGATGAATCTGTAAGGGTGTCCCACCGAATCGCTGCTTCAGTAAACCTGGGGTCTTGAGCTCCTACCACGTCTCTCAAGCGTTCGGGAACAATCTTTTTGACTAATGCACTGGAAGCCAAACATGAAGACAGAAAAGCAGGTAAAGCAACATGCGTTACTTTGCGCACCCCTATACCTCCCAGTCGCACTGGGAGGGTTGCCTGATCCCATTGCTGATCCTCTAGTGACAGATTCAGTGCCTTCTTAAGGGTTGACCTCAGGTGTGCGTCATGTTCGTCAAGTGTTGGTTTGTCAAAAGAGGGTGCACACCTCAGGAAGTGAGTCTTGGAATAGTAAGGCACCTTGTGAGGAGATACAGAGCGTCATGGGCATCGAGATTGCTTATTCTCTCCTCCATTCTCAACAGGTCATTCAATTTGTCCTTGAGAACTGTCTCAATGGCCTGGTGACCCAGCGGTGCTCCAAGGAGGGTACTGTTGGATGAAGTGGTAGTAGAGACTTCTGGGAGGATCCTTCGCACAGCATTGATTATTTCCTGGTTTGCTGTGATTTCACACTTGGAGGGATTGAGGATGAGTCCCAAGTCTTCTCCCTGTGTTTTCACCAGTTGTAGGTCCCCTACCAGGGACTCTTCAGTACCTGCCAGAGTGCCATCATCCAGGTACCAGATGTTGAGCTCGCTGCGTAGGCTGGAAGTTAGTTCTCTTACTGCCAAGCAGAAGAGAAGTGGAGCTAGTGGGTCACCCTGCTGAACACCTTCTGATGATTGAATTTCATGTTCTCCAAACAAAAACTGTATAAGAGAAAATTTTAGAAAGGACTTAATTTTAAATGACTTCTTGCTAATTGACCAGTTTTACATATTTGGCACGACATTTATTATGATATTTGGTATCACTTTTATAAAAAAAAATATATGATAAAAAATAAAAAAAATATATAACCCTCAATAGTATGATCAAAAATATTTTAGGATCATAGAAAATTACTCTATGATGGTAAAAATTTTTATAACAGTAAATTATTCTATGATGATAAAATCTTTTCTGCTTATAACGATGGTAAAATCTTTTTAAAAAAAAGACAATATTTAGAGTTGCCTGAATGCCTTCTACATCCCTCTCTCCTAGGGGTACTGTATAATCCTTCAAACCCCGTATGTGTAGATTGGGAAATGTGGTTAGGCCTTTGGGAGAGTTACTTGATTCCAAAGATGAGGGGTACTTGTGCCTCCTTCTATGGAAAAATTAGGTCTCAGATACTCCCTAAGATTAAATAGGGAACCAAGACAGGGGGAAGATACATACTTGAAATTTTAAAAGTTATTTCTATATTTTTAAGACTGGTGTAATGCGAGAAATAAGAAAGATATTTTAACATGTGGCACAATATATAAAAAAAATCTTAAATAAGCCATTAAAAGGGAATCTTACTGACTATTATTTATCAAAGTATAAAGCAATGAAGATTTGTGATAAAGATCTTTTATGGACAGTAATATTTCATTTACTACTATTGAAAACAATATCTGCAAAAAATTGTGAATCTATAATAAAACAGAAAGATGTATTGTTTAAACAGCATTTTGAAAAGGAAAATTTTTGGTTTTGGTATAAAATGGATAAGGAATATACCCAGGTTAATATAGCTATATCAGTCAACATATGGACAAAAAAACTTGACAATCAATAAGTGGAATAATGAAAATTATACAATATACCATAATAATGTTTGGTCCAATACAGATGAATATATAAGAATTTCTCTTTATGATATTATTGATATACTAAAAATTCAATATGTAGATAAAATTAAAATTGTAAGCAATGCTACTATGGAGTTGATTAAATGTAAGAATTGTAAATTACAAAGTTTTCCAAGTATAAAGACAAAGATAAGTGACCAGACACCATTACTAGTAGTTTTGGGAGTAGTGGTGTTGATAACACTAATGAGTAGTACAGCCTATATTTATTATCTCAAGAAATATATAACTCGGGGTGATTATTCAATCATAAAATTGTTTACGTGAAGTTAAACCATATAAAAGTAGTTTGTTTCATTCTAAATTCAACAGTTGCCAGGCAAGATGGGAAAGGACTATTATAAAATTCTCGGTCTCGAGAAAAGTGCTACTGATGAAGATATTAAGAAAGCTTATAGGAAAATGGCACTCATGTACCACCCCAACAAAAACAAGTCTTTTTTTGCAGAAGAAAAATTTAAAGATATAGCAGAAGCCTATGAAGTATTGAGTGACAAAATGAAGAGAAAAATATATGATATTTACGGCGAGGAAGGACTTAAGAGAGGAGAAGGAATACCTAGTGCTAGTGGTCATGAAGATGGACCACACTTTAGGTATACTTTCTTGGGAGATCCTATAACTATTTTCCAAAAATTCTTTGGTGTTAGTGACCCTTTTTCTACTTTTTTAACAGGAGTTGTAGATTCTAAATTTTTTATGATGGATAAACAAATATGTGGGAGCAGACGGTATTCCTTCAGCTTCAACAACTCTTCTGATTTTTCCAAACCTCAGGACAACAAGAGTCATTACCAAGAAACTTTTAACTTCAACAATAACAGCAACCCTTCTGATATTTTTAAATCTCAAGACAAAAGTCAAAGTCAAAGTAATTACCAAAAGACATTAACAGCATTTGGATTCTCAAAGAAAGATGGAGACTTAACATCCCTTCCAGTTCCTTTTCCTGTCAACTCATTTTCAAGTACTATGGATGAAAAAATGAAAATTGATGAAATTACTACTTCTAGAAATATGTCAGAGCAACCTATTCTTGTGTCTACCAAAGATTTAGACCTATATGTTACCTTGGAAGAAGTTTACAAGGGTGTTACAAAGAAAATCGAGATTATTAAAAGAAACAGCAACTGTTATGAAGAAAAGATCTTAATCATAGATATTAAGCCAGGGTTGAAAAATGGCACAAAGATTATTTTTGAATGTGAGGGCAATAAGTTTCCTGGCAAAAATCCTGAAGATGTTATCTTTGTAGTCAGAGATAAACCTCATCAGTATTTTAAATGTGATGGTGTTAACCTTCAGTACACAGCTAAATTGACACTACGTGATGCCTTGTGTGGTATCCAAGTAGATATTCCTACCCTGACCGATGAGAAAGTTACCTTAAATTTAAGTAACGATATTGTACGACCACAAATGACGAAGTGTCTTCAAGGTTATGGATTACCCTACTCTAAAGATTTTAATAAGAAAGGAGACATTATCATTAATTTTGATATTCAGTTTCCTTCCATTTTGATTGATAGTACAAAAAAAATTCTCTCTAAAATTCTTTAAATAAATTTTTTCTAATAAATAAATTTTAAAATAAAATAAAAAATAAAAAAACTTTGAATTAATCCTTATATTTCCTGAGAGTATAAATACTTTCTACTGGGTTATTATTTTTTGTAGTCAGCATACAGACACACAACAAATAAGTTTGAAAATCAGAAAGACCAGTGGGTTAAAAATTGGCTTTTAGATTAGCTTTGTAATAAAAAATAATATTAATGGATCAGATGATGATCAAAGATTATTTCAAGTCAATTTCTGACATTGAAGAAGAAATGAGTCATGATCTCTGTCATCATCAGTATATTCTCAAACGTCGAACTTCTCCTTGTGAAAGGAAGTTTTGGAAAGACGGAGAATTGGAAAGTTTTGAAGTGGATATGGAAAGAGTGGATCGTCTATACCACATTGATGTCTATACAGATGAAGAAGAAGAGATTTACTGTGAATTAGTGGTACGAATGGTGTACGAGGAAAACAGTCAACAACACCACAGTCATGTTTTTGTCGAGATGTCTGCAAGATGCAATTTTATGAGTAACAATAGAGAAGAGCAGCAGTATATGTGTATAACTTTCAATCCAAACATCTTTTTATATACCACAGGAACTAATAATTATAATAATAAAGACCTTATCCTTAGTTCGCTTCAAGAAGACGGGTACAATATACTACCATATGAGGAAAAAAATAAGTTTATTATAGACCACAAAATCAAACTTAACTATTATCCAAAGGCTCTTCTTCCTAGTATTATAACAGAATTTGAATGAATTCATTGACATCAGTATGGCTAAAGAAGATTACAAAAACTGGGATAAAGGAAGAAGTAATTATGTCATCTTGAAGAAACTTTTTCAAATGGATTTGTGTCTAGAAAATTAGCTATTACTTCCAAAAATAAAAGACTATTATTTTTTGTAAGGTATAAAACTGTGATGTTTTTGTGAAAATGTTACAACTTGTGACAATGAAGATTTTGAATATGGAAGAAGAGATAGATATCTTTAAAAATGTCACAGAAAATTCATGGTGGGACAATTATGTTCTTGAAAGGTGTCTGTCTAATTTCATACTAACTTTTGTTATCAGTGTAATTTGGAGGAGGAGGAGGAGGAGGAGTGAGGAAATATATGCTACATAAAGTTAAGTTCTGTCAGAAGGGATTTAGCAGGGTTAACTTATCTTCCTTAACTCCACGTTTATCTAAAATGGAACCTCTCTCCATAGAATGTTTAGACTTACAAGAAATACTAGAAGAACTAGAACATAAGGACTCACAAGGAAGGATGAATCTACAAGGATTATTGGAAGATTTAGAACATTTGAACCTACAAGGAAAAATGAATCTACAAGGAAAACTGGAAGAAATAGGACGACTGGATGAATTAGAACAGATGGAGATTTTGGATGATAATCTTCACTTTTCAGATGATAGTGATAGTGATAGTGGTATTTCAGATTCTGAAGAAGGTTTTGAAGAAATACCAAGAAATATAAAATTTTTAATTACAGAAGTAACTACAGTTTCTGAAATTGATAAAATGGTGGATAATGCTCTTGAACATCAGAATACGTTTAAACTTGAAGTTTCAAATTTCGAAAATGAATATTGGCATTCAGAGGAATTAGAAAACTTCAAGGTGGATTTAGATAAGGTTGACCACCTGTACCACATCTTTGTCAATAAAGATAAATGCTGTTTTTATGAATTAGTGGTGTGTATGGCTTACAAGAATTCTCATGTTTTCGTGGAAATGACAGCAGCTTCTTATAAAGGAGAATATGTAGGTGAAATATTAATTACCTATTTCCCCAATAATCTACTCATCCATAAAGTCTATTTACATGAAAATGATTTCAGGATAAAGAAAAATTATAAAACTATGCTTAGAAAATCACATTTACAAGACAATTATATTAATCTTGTCTCCTTTCCTTGAAGAAGGAGTAAAAGGAAATGTGTGTATCTAAGCCCCTCCCCTTGAAGGAGGAGTAAAATGTGTGTATCTAGCTCCTCCCCTTGAAGGAGGAGTAAAAGGAAATGTGGTGTGTGGTATATAAGTGTTATATAAGTTAAATTCAGTTAGTAATCTTCCTAATACAACATGGACCCACAAGATAGGATTAGACTGGAAAAACTTGTAGACCCTAAAGGAAGAATTAATGAACTAGAACTGATGGACTTTTTGGATGTTTTTTATATTTCATATCCTGAAGAAGTACTAAGTAGTAGTCAAGAGAAACTTGAGATAATAAAGAAACAAGTTCAATTGTTATTGTCAGAGCTGGAAATAAAAAATTTACCCTTTTTAGAGTTAATTGACCACCTGTACTAAATGTATTATTTGGAAGATGAAGCAGTATTTCATATATTAAAGGGTATGAAGGTTTTGAAGGAGTTGAAGATGGATGAAGCAGTATTTAGTTTTCTGAAGCTTTTGAAAAAATACCTTAAAGGAGAAACAGTTTATAGTTACACATCTAAGATGCTCTTTCCCTTGAAGCTCCTCCCCTTCGAAACTCACTCGAGTATATGAAGTTAGCTTCAGTCAGAAGAGATTCAAAACTCCATATAGAACCACAACAAGAACACCTAGAAGCAAGGATGACAGGAAGAACGACTTCAAGGACAAGGACAACTTCAAGGAAAGGACGACTGGAAGAACTTGAAAATTTGGTCCCACAGGAAAGAATGAACCTACAAGCATGACTACAAGCCTGACGGGAAGAATTGGATAACCTGCTCGAGTATATAAAGTCATCTTCAGTCAGAAGAGATTTAAAACTCCACATAGAACCACAATAAGAACAACTGGAAGAAACAGGACAATTGAAGAGAGCTCGGAAATTTGAACCCACAAGGAAAAATGAATCTAACAGGACGACTGGAAGAACTTGAACTTGAAAGACCTCAAGGACAAGGACGACTGGAAGAACTTGAAAATTTGGACCCACAAGGAAGAATGAATCTACAAGGACAACGGGAAGAAGAATTGGATAACTTTTCAGATGATAGTGGAATTTTAGATTCTGATTTTGAAGGTTTTGTGGAAGAAATACCAAGAGGTTTTAAATCTCTAATTGAAGAAGTAAAAACCATTTCTGAAATTGAGAAGATTTGGGTAAGGCTCTTAAACATCAGAGTTTATTTAAGCGTGATGTTTCACCTTATCAACAGGAATATTTTTCACAACTAGACTTAGAAAACTTCAAAGTGGTTTTAGGGAAAATTGACTGTCTGTATCACATCTTTTATCTTGAAAAGGATGATGACTCTTTTTACGAATTTGTGGTGTGTATGGCTTAAAAGAATTCTCATGTTTTTGTGGAAATAACAGCAATTTGTAATGGAGATGATGATTTTAACTTTTATGGTGGAGGAGATATATTAATTACCTCTTGTCCTGATAATTTACTTTACTTCCATCCCAAAAGTGGTCATTTTCATAATTTTAGGACAAAGGAAAATTATAGAACTGTACTTAGCAATTTTCTTAAAAAAGATGGATATACTGTGTCTCCAGTAAGTGATTTCAGTCATCTCTTTTCTGTGAATGTATGGTTGATGATGATTAATGTATTTTTTTTATCATATGGTTGTTTTGAAGTGAAAATATATGTTTGAAATAAAAATGTATATAATTCACCTAATTAAGCTTCATCAATAAATAAGGTAAATGATACCTGATAACAATATATACTTGATTACCAAGAAAAAAAATAGTCCTTACTTGACAATAACAGACGTGGTTCTGACCACGTAGCTGGTCCCATCCTTGGCCTCTCCAGAAGTGGTTGGCCCATCCTTGGCTATTTCAGATTTATGTAGTCACCCCAGATGTGGCCAGTCCTTACTTGGCCACTAGTCTTTTTGAAATGTAACTGTAACTTAAAAATCTGTCTACAAAATTGCTTTTACTACAAAAAGAAGTAAAATTATTGAGTCTTTTGATTATAAAATAAGAAACTCGCTTGAGTATATAAAGTTAGCTTCAGTCAGAAGAGATTTAAAACTCAACATAGAACCACAACAAGAACACCTGGAAGAAATAGGACAACTGGACAAGGAAGAACTTGAACGACTTCAAGGACAAGGACGATGGGAAGAACTTGAATGACTTCAAGGACAAGGACAATGGGAAGAACTTGAAAATTTGGACCCACAAGGAAGAATGAATCTACAAGGGTAACGGGAAGAAGAATTGGATAACTTTTCAGATGATAGTGGAATCATAGATTCTGATGATTCTGAAGGTTTTGTGGAAGAAATACCAAGAGGTTTTAAATTTCTAATTGAAGAAGTAAAAACCATTTCTGAAATTGAGAAGATGGTGGGTAAGGCTCTTAAACATCAGAGTTTATTTAATCGTCATGTTTCACCTTTTGAACAGGCATATTGGTCACAAGTAGACTTAAAAAACTTCAAAGTGGTTTTAGAGAAAATTGACCATCTGTATCATATCTTTTGTCTTGAAGAAGATGAATATGACTGTTTTTACGAAATAGTGGTGCATATGGCTTACAAGAATTCTCATGTTTTTGTGGAAATGACAGCAGCTTGTAATGAAGATGATGATTTTGAATATGAAGGTGGAGGAGATATATAAATTGTGTACTCACCTATTTACTCACCTATTTGTGGTTGCAGGGGTCGAGTCTTAGCTCCTGGCCCCGCCTCTTCACCGGTTGCTACTGGGCTCTCTCTCTCCCCGCTCCATGAGCTTTATCAAACCTCGTCTTAAAACTGTGTATGGTTCCTGCATCCACTACCTTATTTTCTAGGCTATTCCACTGCCTTACAACTCTATGACTGAATAAATACTTCCTAATATCTCTCAGACTCATTTGTGTCTTCAACTTCCAATTGTGGCCTCTTGTTTCTGTGTCCCCTCCCTGGAACATCCTGTCTTTGTCCACCTTGTCTATTCCATGCAGTATTTTATATGTCGTTATCATGTCTCCCCTGACCCTCCTGTCCTCCAGTGTTGTCAGGCCGATTT